AGCCTCCTCTTCTCCAGGCTGAGCCCCCCCAGCTCCCCCAGCCGCTCCTCCCCAGCCTTGGGCTCCAGCCCCTGCCCCAGCCTCGCTGCCCTGCTCTGGCCACGCTCCAGCCCCTCCATGACCCGCGACGCTCCGCAGCCCATGCCGGCAGGTCTAACTCTGTTGTACATCCAGCCTCTAGCAGCCAGATCCCCCCCCGGCCTAGGGCCGCGTGGTTCTGCTGTAACACCGAAGATTCCCAGACGAGACAGGGCCCGGGCGCACCCCCTCCACACACACGCTGACAGGAAGGCGGGTTCGTGACCATGAGCAGCCGGATGGTAGCAAGGATCAAACCATTTTCTTTAGCAACGCATTGTCTTCAGAATAAAAGGCCGAGATGACCCTCGCGCTATCCCACTTCATTTTGAACCTTACGTACTCTGAATTACCCCTCACAGACATCTAATCCCATTCGGCTGCTGCTTTCAGGAACCGCACACAGCAGGCTGGCTGGGTAGGGGGAAGCAAATCCTGTAGCTAGGACTGATTTTGCAGGAGCGGGAGGGAAGCAGACAGAAGTAGCCGGAAGGTTAATTAGTGCAACAACAGCAAATCCTAGCAGGACTTTACATGTTGAGAATTAATTATGTTTCAGGGGCTGGTTTCCTTTTGATGAATGCCAAGGACTACAACGGGAAGGTTTTCCTTGTCTCAGGGGCCGTTGTTAGTCTATTTTCTTTCTTGCACCAATCAAATACGATTTGTTTTAAACCTATCCTAAACCGAGCTGGCATGGTGACTTTAAAAGCTGCTGCTGGTAACTGGAACACGCCGAGCACAAAGACCAAGTCAAAAACAACCTCTGTTCCCGAAGTCTTGAGGGCAGAGCCTCTCCACAGACAAACCGCGGGATCTGCCGAACTGGAAGGGAAGCAGCGACGCAGGTTGGGTTTTGCTCCTGCTGCTGGTTAGCAGAGAGACGCAGTAACGGCGGGATGGCCTCCAGCCTGGCGCCAGCGCGACGCTCCGGAGAAGACCTGAAGTGACGAGACCAGCCCCCAAGTCCCAGCGTCAATCCTGCCCTACTGGTACGCAAAGCTAAACCCACGTTGCTTCCAGATGTTCCGGTTTTGGTTGTTTGCCCTCAACAAAATGAATTCTGGGCAATACTCTTTCTGAAGTGGCTGAAAGTCAAACTCGTGTCCACTAGAGTTAAAATTAGCTCCATTTATTTATTGCTAATGCGTGACCCAGCAGGACAAGGACCAGACAGTACTTTGGATTTAAAATGTGTTTTTACAGGGCAGCTGTCATTTTCTAATCTCATTTATTTCTGTTGCGTTCTGACCGAGTCCCATGAACTCCTACTCACGGGAGCAGCCTTTGATCACATTTTCCCCTTATGAAAGCGAACTCCAGAGAACGACACAGAAACCAAGACCCATCCCGCAACGAACCTGAAAAGCTCCAAGCCTATGGCACTATTTTTGCTTTTAAATGCCTCTGCTCCAGATCAGTCGGATAATATCTGCAACAAAGTCTTACGGAGTCGGACAGCAAGGGGTAAAGAAGGAAGAAGGAGAAGGCAGGGAACGGCGGGGCAGAGCTGCAGGGGATGCTGAACAGACGAAGGAATAGCGGGAGCAGGGGAGAGGCCCCAGGTAACCTCTCCTCGGTTTACCAGCACATCAGTTACCATCTACGATGCTGAATTATTCGTTTCTCTTGGTTTAAACCGCTTATGCGCGGGTTGTACGCACGCAAGCGCAGCGGGGTGGGAATCCCTCAGCCAGCATGGAGGGAGACGCTAAGGCGAGCCAGCGACGAGCCCGTTACTTTTATTTCTGCCTGGGACTGAAATTCAAGGAAAAGCATTTGGGCCATGTGCCTTTGATCATACATGACCTTTATTGGAGACAGGTGGGGTCATTGATTATACAGAAGTAACATCACACCATTCTCTTCCAATTTAATTCCTTTTAGTCTCCTTATAAATCTGTAGCAAAAGTGCACTTTTAACAGTTTTTAATCTATAGTATATATCTTTCAATATTATCTCTCAGTCAGGTATTTTATTTGTAAAAACGTATCGCCAGATATACAAAATACATGTCTAGTGTACTACATTAATTTTTGTATTTACTGTTTAGATTATTTTTTTATCTCAGTGCTCTTTTTTTTTTTTTATTTTTTGCAAGACTTAGTGATGCCAGGCTTCTGGTAGCGCCACCGGGAGAGGACTCACGGCTTGTGTGTGAATAAGGGGAGAAGACTCTTAGCCAGGAACAATTTTCATACAATAGGAACAAGATGACAAGAACGTCTGCGGTTATTGAATGTGTCTCTTAAAATGACAGTACTCTGTATAATAAAAAATAATTAAAAAACCCAATGTCCGTATTTTATCTTCTGGAAGAGGAGATGTGCCAGGAGGATGGAACCTGTACCCAGTTGGAATACAACGGTAATGATTAATTTGCATTTTGAAGACAGGAGTTAATTGCTAACATGACGTTTCTGGTCATGATAAGAAGAAATGGATACGTACAGCCGCCACAAGAAACTGTTTGTGAAATGCTGTTTTCCTGAGGACGATATTTTGGTAAAATATTTTATATCCTGTACAAGCCACAGAATTGCATAAGTTAAATGTCCTCAAGAACAACAACCACTGGCATACACCATGAAGGGCTGTGCTGGGAACAACCACACAGAGGACAGCTCCTGTGTCACCTAACGAGACGAAGAAAGGAAAATGGGCATTTCCACTGGTAGTTTAGAGCCAGCTGCAACAAGCTTTGGCACGGCAAGAGGACTTCTCGAAAAGAAAGTTACAGAAGATTTTCTGAGATTTCTTACAAACTTCCTTAGTCTTTTCTTTCTAGTTATCCTTGAGATTATAATATACACACACGTAACGGATAATTACTTAATTTCAGTCTTCAAAAGACTAACAATTTCCCCTGTTAAGCAAGGCCTATAGAGGTAAAACAATCAGAAGCATTTTTAGGGGGGGGTATTATGATTCCCAGATCGATACAAACATTACCGACAGATAATGAGGAACGTTCAGCAAGGTAATGCCTGGGTTGGTTGGTTGGTTTTCCTTCTTACTTGTTCATTATCTTGAAGACTTAAGAAGAACCGGATTAGTTACAGAAATAATGCTTCCCTTGGTTAACCCTTCACAATTAGTGCTGTCTCTGTGTATTAGCATAGATTCAAAACGCTAGTTGCATCAGTTTACTGTGTATTGAATGAAACGTTGAACGGATCCTGTTTCAGAACGAGGGCACTTTTGGTTTACGCAATAGCTCCAAGAAATGCTGTCACTTCAAACTTTCTACAGCAACTGGTTGCCAGACATATTCTCCAAACGGTAACTGCTTTTCTGCTCCCCTTAAATCTGCAGCAACGTGGCTCTGAGTCAAAACTTCTGCTTCAAAAGAAAAACGCACAACAGACGAGGCTGAATATGGACAAAGTTCTATACCTTCTGAAGAGGAAACAGAACAGTAAAAATAAAAGTATAAAAAGAAGCAGTGCTGTTAGTGTTATCTAAACCCAAGATAATGCATAACGGGGAAATTTACAATGCTGCAGAGAGAGTTTTTTGTCTGCTTTTTTATAAAAATTACAGACTTGACATTTCCAATATGTCTTAGCTTTGTACTGCTTCTCAAGTCTGAGTCACCAAAAATATCCAGCAACCAGCTGCTGTTCATATCCTAAAATATTCCTTCAGCTGACACTGAATATTGAAATCATTCTGCTAAAATACAGAAAAACGACGATGGTAGAAACCAAGGTATAGCCTCAGGCCAACATTAAATGGTAAAAATTCTACAATGCTACTTTTAAATCTCTTCTTCAGTTCATGAACAAATAAGCAGCCAGGTTTCAAGTAGAGGTAACACAGATTTTGGAAGATAGCACGTAAAAAAAGCCCAGAAAGAAAACTGGAACAAAAGCTCTTCTTGTTACGGCAGTCAGCACTAATCCTCCACGAAATGGCAGGGAGAAACCTTTATTCGCCCTGCTGGATCTGTCCTGGTCCTACAGCAACAATGAGGAACTGCTTCTGCTGTCACAAATATGTTCCATTTGGACATATCTTGATCCCTTTTTTCTTTTATTTGTATACACGTAATCTTTTGTCTTAGTCTCTTGACTGGTAGAAGAGGATATATCCAGATTCTGAGTTTTTGGAAATGTCTGATGTTAACCCATAGAATTCTTCAATGGCCTGGGCATCAATTTTCTGAAAATTAATGAGAGTTATAATTAGCCTCAGTCAAAACACCACCCTAAGAATCCCCTTCCCAGACAAAGCATTATTTTCAGTTCTTGGGAATGATGCTGGAAAGCCACGCAGTATTAATACAACAATATTTCAATATCATTGCATTCAACCAAATACAACAAAACATTTTTTATACTTATTACCTTATTCACTATTGAAAAAAAAGGAAGCCAAGATGAAATAGTAAACCTCTCAGAAGTGGTGCACTCTTAAGCTGGACTATAAAAAAAGGGATCCATGAAAATGGATCCTTAAAAGAGTACATGTCAGTTTTATATTTGCTTTCTCATTCAGACTGGTGTTACCTTTCCTGACTACAGGTTTGTAATGTAAATGAAAAAAAAAGCAGTCACTGGTCAGCAAAGAAGGCTTTTGTACAGTTGGGAGTACATAAGGGCCATCTTGAGCAGATTTAACATTCAGCTAAAATAACCCCAGATTTTCAAGTTCTTGTGACCCTCTGAGAGAAGTCCTGCAAGTGCTACTGGTCGTTATACCACGAAATCTGTGGATCTCATCTGATTATGATCTTCTGGTCTTACCAGAGCTTTCCTTCCTTAGGATTTGCTGGTACAACACCTACTGGAATATTATCACAAGGTTTGTGTTTTAAGAGAAATAAATAATTTTCCATATTAATAGAATTAAATGGTCCGCTTATATTTAAAGTTGTGAACTATGTGCAGAAAAGCAGTTTTTCACCTTATACTCCAACCAGCAAGGCCTGTAGGGCATTTTAAAGGGCTTTTAAAGAGGCAAGTTCTACTTGATCCCACTCCTGAGAACGACTGGCTTCACATTACTGAATATGATTCTGCAGTCAGCAGAGAGCAAGCGTAGAGACCACAACACCGAAATAAAATACTCCCAATGACCCGTGTTACTCAGCACTCCACTGTGTTTTAGTTTAGGACTCTGGATCCACAGAGATGAGAGGCTGAAGTAGCCTGAATTTGTTGTGGAGGACCAAAGGGAGACTTGCCTAAAGTTTCCCTTTGTTCCCCAAGGAGTAAAGTTGAGGAAGCAAAGAAGAGGCTCTGGGTTGAACACCACCTTTGATCGTGAGAGGGAGCAGCGGAGACCGATTTGTGCTTCGATTTTAAAGGAAAGGGACCACGCTATGACTCCATCAAGGAGCCTCCTCAGCTACAGAATCCCTCTGGCAGCGTGCTAACTCATTGCTCACTGCACAGACTTCGGCATCACCAGCACACACAAAAGCGCTGGTTTCTCTAAGTGGCACTGCCAGACAACCTGCAAGTTTAGGCCATCCTTTTCCCAGCCTTTTTGAAGCACAAAAACCCCAGACATAGTAAGTTTCCAGAAGATGCATCAACTGCAGGACAGAGCTGCAGAAACTCTCCCTTGAATAGTTTTGTTAAACACTTTCTGTTAAAAAAAAAATACGGGGGGGGGAGAAAACCCCAAACAGATGTTTTCTTTTTCTCTCTTCTCCATTCAAGGACTTCAGAGAAGCTAAATACCATACTGTGGGCTTTTGCATTTTCACGCAATTTATTAACATAACATCTACTACAAACCGTTAGATACACATTTTAACAGAAAAATAGCAAAAGAACATTCTTCAGCCCTTGTAATATATTTAGCAAACAACTCAAACATGTTTTATTTTAAGTGCCAACTAACTTGCCATGCAATCCAGTCTATTTCCACTACTCATTTTGAATGCAACTCAAAGATTTGATATAGATTAATTCACCCTACAGATATTTTTAGTTTCATCACGGCAGAACTGACTTCCTTTTTAAATTTCACTATCCACAGAAAACACAGTGGAACTTAAAGAGGATTATATAGACGCTATTCTTCCCATCCTTAGCTGACCACATATATCGTGGACAGCAAAGTTTTACCCAGTTGCAGCTTTAGAGTAACAACCAGTTCATGGTTTCACAACTACTTTTAGGATTCTGCAGCCTCACCTGGCACTAAGATGGTTTTTCTTGCTAACTGAGCTTAAATATCCTTTGCTCATTTCCAGACAACTATTCTGGTTCCCCAAACCAAATCTTTTTCTTGCATACCATTCCTAGCATTCAAGTGAATGCCGCCAATCTCTGAACAAATATTTAAGTGAAGCCATGCAATCGTTCTCCCCCTTCTCTCAATTTGGAGAACTCCCTGGATGGACACTTTTCCCTCTCTGTTTCAGATAAACATTGTCACTGTGCTGTATCACTTAGTTGCTCTAATGACAACACGTCCAATTAGCCAGAGATCATTTACTCAGGTTTCTCAATTCATTTTGCTTGGCGCAGTATCCCATTTGGACTGATTTGCCTCCTGGATTTGATGTAGTTGCTTTTCAGATACGCTGTAGTCTGTTTGGTTATCATCTATTTTCAATTTAATTGAAAGTTGGCCTTCCAACCAAATCCAAATAGATAAACAAACATGACTTCACCACTTTCGACATTTAGTAGGTAATAAGGATAAACTACTTCCTATTGACAGTTCAGAGCTATTAATTCATATCACTTGCCAAAATTGCAACAAAGCGTTTTAACTGTATTTAAGGGGAAAAAGCTTTCTCCTGTGTTCCCTTTCAATTGCAATACCTGTATACAGGTACAAGGGCTTTGGGCTCATCTTCTGAAGTCCGCTGACTAATACCTGTTTTGTTATATAGCCAGCTCACACCGAGAATGTTAAGTCTCCAAAGCTTAAAAAAAAAAAAAATAAATTTAAAAATCTGCTTTCATGCTCTTAAGAGTCTCTGAAGAGCAAAAGGCTCCTGTGGTTAGCCCTAAAACCAGAAACTTATGCAGAATTCATGTTTTAGGGGCTTTGGGGTTTTTTTTGCCGCTCTGTTTTTGAGGACAACCTCTGTAATGTCATACGTAGCAATGTGTTTCCTGTGGTGTCACCTTAAGGCCAATCACAAGCAGTTTGAAAATAGTACTTGGTCAAGTTCAGGGTAGATATTTAAATCTCTTTAGGCAGCAGAGGGAACTCACAGAAGTAGTTGGGGCTTTACTTCACTTTCTCAGTGAAGAGCCTACAGCACTAGTAAAGAACTAGTTCTCAAGAGCTGATGACTAAGTGGGGAGAGAGAGAACAGAAAACTGCAGCTACTTCTTCCAGCAGCCTGTAGCATCAGGGGAGGAAGAGCAGTCTCCACTCTCCTGTTCGCCTTGATCACTGAATCACCAGAAATTCAGGCAAGTTCTAGCCGGTCGAGGAAAGAGAAAGGTTGGTACTTCCTAGACAGAGTGAGATGAGATCTAAGCTTCATGTTCCTCACACGCTTAGAAGGCAGGAGCGGCTACAACGGATAGTCAGTGAAGAGATCCTCTGGGTAGGAATTCTTATGCTACGCTCTTCAAAGCAGGTCAAGGCGCAACCGTTTATCGGAGAGGGGCCAATGATTTCAAATGACTCATGTGCAAAACTCTCATGCGCAATTTTTCATGCCCTCCACCGGTAGGAAAAACAAAGCCTAAATTTCACAGAAAACAAATTAACACGTGTGAACGCCAGCCAGGGAGAGTCTTCTAGCAGGAAAAGGAATCTGAAACCTCTGGATCCGCAGCTGGGGCAGAGGTAGTGCTACAGGACGGGGCTACATTGCTAATCCTAATCAAGACAGTGAAAACTCGAAGAACCATGGGAGACACAAAAAGTAGAAATTTCAGATCAGAGAGCTTTATTTTTACAGCATTTTAGATAAAGTCTGTAAAAGAAGACGAACTTAAAAAAAAGAAAGCCATGATTAAAGTCAGAAAAGCAACTTAAAGGGGAAAAAGCATCCCCTCCAGGAGAGAGGAACTACATTCTAGCTTACTTGTGACAGCTCCTTGAATTTATTGTCCAATAACAGACAGCGCATATTTAAAAGCTATGTTTTGGCACATCTGTAAAAGTGCCAGCAGTGTTTGCAGATAAAAAGAAATTCCGTTCTGACCTAAAAGCTAAGGTACAACAGAGAGTGACTGATAGAAAACAAAAATAGAACAACACGATGGTTATTTTACATCTACTTTTAAAATGTAAAGTTTATCTCCTGGACAGAAATGACAGCGAATACTTACATTTAAGAATACTGAGGTGAACATTATTTCCAAAATTAGCTGACACAATTACATATTTTGGCCATAACAGAAACAGGGGAAAATAACCCTCAAAATATAATCATGGGAGAAAGGCAACTGTTCTTGGTCATACAAGCTATCTAAATCACCAGAGAGTCACCCCTGATGCTCAAAGCTAAGCAAAGATAAAAAAAAAAAAATGGAGAATGTACTACATCTTCTTTATATCGACACAAGCAAGGATTTTGCTGTACCTATTTAGACATCAGGCCTTAACCTTGACTATGAGATGTCAGAGGCAAACAGTACGTTTTCATCTTTACAAAAAGCAGTTCTACTGTGGTATTTGTTCTACTGTTTGATATTTGCTTAATAATTATGTGAAATACATGGATATATAAATATTTTAGATATTAGTCTTTACAGATATGTTAGTAGAAAAGTTAAGGAAAAATTTGCTTGAGCAGACTGTTTAAACATTGTTATTACTGTGTCAATACAGCCCTCGTGTTGGTTTGCCCTTCTCCACACTACTTCTATAACGGAGATGCACACAACTGCTGAAGTTTACCTTTGAAATGTCCAGAATTATTCTGTGCACATGTTTTGCTGAAATACTTTCACAGGTGCAAAAGCTAATCCCAGACATAAAAACCAAGCTGGAGAGTGATGCTGTCTACACTTGTTTTCACCATGTAAAAGCATACCTACCTCTACAATGTCATCATCAAACAGCAACCAAAAGCCATGGCTCTTCACAATGGTGATATAATGTCCACGATTTGGACCACTGTCAGAAAAAAGGGTTGAAGACTTATTACTCTTGTGCCTACAAAGGCAGGACCACTGCTTTCCCACATGACTCTAGCTATTACTGGCAGAATTAGATTTCCCAGCTCTTAATACTGTCTAATACTAATAATATTCATAACATAATAATACTCATAACATTGTTTAGGTTCTAAGACTTTGCCAAATTGCTTGAATTAAAATTTCTGTCTTTGCTACTTGCCAAATACAATACATTCAAAATACACAGTTTCGTAAATATTTTAGATAGTCGTTCATATATTTCACGAAACAAAATTAAAAGCCAGTTATCTCAATCACTGTTTTGTCGCATTCACCACTGCTGAGTATTTTGACCACTGTTCAAAAATTTTATTAACTGTCTGTCTGAAATATTTTATTTGCACAGGAGATTTTTTTTTTTTACATGTTTTTAAAGTGTAGTTTAGCCTATGGCTGACTGCAGACAGGCTTTCTGCAACTGCTCTTCCCAGTTTTCCAGTGGCTGTTTCCCAGTTTCCGATTCTATCACCTATATCCTGAACGCTTACCTTGAAGGGAAGGGACACAACAAAACGACCTGACTCAAAGGGAGACGGATCTGCAGAGTAAAGGCAGGCAGATTGCCCTGGAAAAGTAGTGCTTTGGGAGAATAACCTACATGGATGGAAAACTATGAGCTATCGATCTACTGACCTCAAATTGTGAGAGAACAGTCCAGGGACACAGTGAAAAAGAAAACTTTTTCTTCTTTCCCCCTCCCTTACTTTTTATTTAGCACCTACATAAGGCTTTAAAACAAGCTATATTCCTATCAGCTTTAGGCAAAAGAAAATACTCCTCTAGTCCTTCCAGAATTAGTGATAAACGTAAACACACAACCTGTCACAGAAGGAAACTTCTTTGTTTAGAGCAACTAACAGAAAAGTAAAACTATAAGGGCAAAGTATTTAAAACAAGTTCTGAGAACTCAAATATTTAGAAAATATAGTTTATCTGAAGTCTTTGGTAAGTTCCTAGTAAGAATTGAAACCAGAAGAGTCAGAGGACTCCTAACAGCCCCATATAAGACAACAGGTTTGAGAAGAAAAAGCAAAGACATTTAATACATCTAAATTATTAATCACCATTGTTAAAACATGTAAGTGTAGTATAAGTACAGCAAATTAAGAATCTACAGAAGAAAATGCATAGAATGAGATATTAAAAAGATAAAAATAAATAAAAAAATAGCACAACTGTACCACAACAGAAATCACCTAGCATTATATGGAGTTTATTTATACTAAATCTATGCAATATTAGTGTGTTGATTATATTGTCTTGCTCCTCACAAAGATGTTTCAAAACATTTGTGTGCTGTAATAACTTATTACTTTAAAACTCACACTTCCAGAATACTTTTATTCCAGTTATAAATATTTTTTGCCTTCCATGACTGCTTTTTTCCTTGAAAATGCTTAAAAGTTTTTCCTCTTTGCTTTTAAAAACAGAATTAAAACCATTACAACAACAAAAATTTAATAAAGAGAAAAAGGCTATTTTAAAAAATCAGCAGTACACAGTTTATTCCACGTGGTGGCACCAGCTTCTAAAAAAACTTCAATGATTTAGCAAGTAGCGACACGAGACCTGTAACTTAATTCTATTTCAGTAAGTGTTTTTCCAGGATTTGCTTTTATTTCATTTAGGTTTCCTAGAAAGTAGGGTTGAGGGTGGGGTTTGGTTGTTTTAATTTTTATTATTTTTTTAAAGACTGCTTTTACTCTGCTACAGCTCAAAGAAACAACTTGTCTGAATTGCTGCCATATTTGAAAGTTGGTAAAAGAGCAAACCTGTGTACTCAGAAAGCAAAATGTAGAACACTAAAAAAGTTGTAAAAAAAGAGCAAAACACACTTTTAAAAAAAAAACAACAGAACACCTTTCAGAGAACTAGCTCCGACACTGCTTAGCATGCTCCCATATCATCAGCCACTGTCCTGTTACGAAATGGCATATGGATGACAGACTCCTTTTAAAGGTCAAGAAAAGGCCCTTAAGGTCCGGAAAGCATAAAACCAACATACCTGCCACAGTGAACAACTACAGCCACAAGGTCATACATTCTGTCAGGATTTGTAGCATCTCCTGAAGTGTTAAAGAGCCGGAGCTCCAAGGGAAAGACTACACGGTAGGAGAGTTTGGTGTATCGATGCAGCTGGTCCATGTATTTGAACCTTTTTAAGTGCAGAGCTAGAATCATGGGCAACTTTTTCACTCTCATTCTGAACCACAAAAATACGTTAAACAAAGAACAAGGTATTAGCAAACCACCTAAAACAAAGCTTTGTTCAAAAACAGTTTCAATATGAAGAAGCTTCTTAAAAGGCATCTAAAATGTTGATGAAGACTTTCAAAAGGCTGCTTTTCTCATGTATATTCCAGTGAGAACAGGCAATATTTATTCTGAAAGATTAAATACACAACTGACATCTGAATGCAGGACAACCGTCTATGTTGAAAACATCAATTTTTCATCATATCGATGGGAAGAAATAGATGGAATAAATCTGTTTTGCTGTGCTGGCTGTGACCAAGTATGAGGTGAGAAATAAGATTTTTTTTATACAGCATTCATAGTGAAAGCAGATTGGATGGTTTTCAGTGGCTTTAAGCTGATTAATGCTACCTGGGGAAAATACGAATGTCTGGAAGCACCAGATATCAGCTCTTCTGGGAGGAATACAAAATTAATCTCTTCCTTTCTCTCTGATAAGGTTGCCACAAAGTTACTTGGTCTCTCCACTTTTCTTCACTCCCTTCCCCACCAAACACAGACCTGAACAGTCTCACATTTTCTTTTTACTGAATTCACAAGGTGCGTTTTTCCATCGGCTGCCCATTTTAAGAGAACATTTATATTAGCCTGAATATTTGAACCTTACCTTTTCTGTGCTTCCTGTTTACTGCGGCACTGCTCACAATAGTATTTATATTCACTGCATAGAGTTTCAGTATTACTAAACCCTCTGTGGAAATTAAAGAAAAGTCAGATAAGCTAATAATGCTGAAAAAACATAACGTTCACACAGAAGATGAAATTCCTCTTATTCATATTGCTCATACCTCCCAAACACATTTCAGAAGTATTTGTCCCAGTCTTGGGATGTAGTATCAAAGTTCAGCTGGCGAAATCTGGAAATTACACCCTCAAGTATTAACTGCGTATTTTCTGGGCAGCAGTCAAACACGATAGGTAATAAAGAGCAATAAGGTGATTGCGTTTTGTTTCCAGAGGTAGCCACTCCATGTTTTCTTTGGTGGCAGACATTAAACGTTAAGACCTATAGCCATTGACTACCCAAAGTCTGGATTATCTTTCAACTCCTAGCAATTAGACATCCATTATCAGCTATTCAAAAGGCAGATGCTATATGCAACTTGCAGTATCCTAGCAGCTGATAAGCCTTGGATCTAGCAGTCAAATACATGGAGTAAATTTCTATAAGCAAAAAAAACCAAACCCAAGCTTGACCGCAAACATCAGGACCAGACAACTGAAATGCAATAACACTATTAAAATAAACAAAATTTTATTACGAAACCAAACATACCATGTTTAGTTTTCATAAAACCTGACTATATGAAGTAACAAATTAAAATCCCCATAAAGGAAAGTGAAAATCAATCTTACATAGCACTAAGAAACCATCTTACTCATTAACTACTAAAAACCACTAAGAAACTAGCCGCTTCAAAAAGCCACGATAAAGATAAAGTGAACAGCACTCTGAAGAGAACATATTTTACCGTAAGTCAAAGCCTACAACTGTTGCACAATAGAGCAACTAAGCTAGGCTCTTTCCTTCTGACCAAGGGCAGGTGTTTTTTCCACTCACAAATATTTTCATTTACCTTAGACAGTGCGTAATTGATGTATTTTGTTCCACATCAACCGATAGATCCAGAAAGTCCTCATCTTTGCTACTAACCTTGAAAAAAATAAGAAGAAATATTTCATAACAGTTTAGAACTGGCAGATTTCCTTTAACCATTTCTGGAATGGTGCAATGTCCTCGTTGCAAGTAGAGACCTTTGTGATAAAAAAATAAATATATACACACACACAGGGGCCCTTTCTTGAGGTAAACTAAAACTGAAGAAATAAGCTGATGTGTTGTTACAATCCAGAGAGGAATATAAAAAAAAGCCCAAACCCAGAAAAAAAACCACAAAAAAACCAAACCCCCAAACCTTTCTTGCAAAGCATCTCTCCCCCCTGAGACTTCAAGACACATCTTCTTACTTCACTGGCAAAACCAAGTTTTTAACCACGCAGAGGTCTCAGAGCTGGAGAAGCTTTAACCGTATTCCACTCTGCTTTGTAGACCGATACAGCTTTCTGCTGCATTTCAGAGTTTAGCAGTAAATACTTATAGGAAACGCAGAAACAGGCAGATGGGTTTTCAATTAAATGGGTTAGCAGTTAGGAAAACCATCTTTCCATTTGTGGAACAGTCACATTTAATTTCAAAATTCTCGAGACAGAATCTTATTAATGTCATTTTTAGAGCTTCTATTCACCATATAGCTGTAACATCAGATTTAAAATGCCAAGAACAGTCATTTCAGTTGTAATCACTTCTCTTTTTTTCTCTCTCCATCTGGGTTTTCATTTTTTTAGAAATATTAAATCAGACACAGCACATGGCTAACTACAAATTCCTGGTCTGAAGGTGGTGTGGTTCTTCTAACTCTAGACTTTGTGCACTTCTTTTGCTCTCAAATAGAGTGGCTATGGACCAGCACCAAGAAGCACAGACTTCCAGTTCAAGAAATTCAGTTAATCCCAGAGTTAAATAAATAGTGAGCAACTCTCATGTAGAAACACAACATAAACTATCAATCACTGACACAGGAAATAACATGAAGACAAAAAGGCAGCTTATATCAGCCAGGTGCAGACTGCCTCGATGGAAACAGGGAGGAGGAACAGAAAAAACACTATGCTTTTTCTGAGAAACATACCTTAATGAGTATTGGTTTGAACATAGAGGTGATACAGTCATAAAATAGGCTATGCTCCATATTTTAATAGAGAGAGTGCAATTTCATCTATCCTAATAAATGAAAAAGTGTGCTTAGTATTAGGGAAAATGATCCAGAACCTGTGAAAAATCTAAGAGGTTTTGTTTTGTTTTAAACGTACAGCCTCACAGTTAAGACATCTGGTTTCATTGGTTAGTGTTCCTTGGAAGATTTCATGGACCCACGTCAGATCAGTCTTGTCTCCTCCTTCACTCTCAATGCTGCCGTTCTGGAGTTTGCCATTCTGCTTCTCCTGCTTCTTCTCTTCTTGTAGTAAGTCAGCAATAGTGTTAAGTAGGTAGTTTAGGAATTCATGTGCATCCTGCTGCATATAATTATCAAATAATTCTGGAAAGGAAGAGATCAAGGAGAATGAAAAAATACAGATACTTCATAATATCAAGTTACTATGCTCTTAGCAATCAGTGCGTGCCCTTCCCCCTTCTCTACCCTATTACACAATTGTGGGTTACACTGTTAAGAGTCTTTGAAGAACTGTACTTTGTTGTTCTCGCAACGGATATTAGGTTACCCTCACCTATTTCTCAGGTTACAAGAAACAGGCAGCTGAAAAATAACATAAAGGAAACCTAGTTTGGGCATTTATTGGAACTGATGAAAACCATGATTGGTTTTTAGGGTTTTTTTTGTTGTTTGTGGGGTTTTTTTCTTTGGGGAGGGAGAGAAATAAAGTAGTTCAGCTGTGTTGCCTTCAGCCATTAGTTCATTAAGTCCAGCATCAAGGGGCAAAAATCCCCTATTACAAGTTTGTTATGTTTTGAAGTTCAAGCAGAGATGATAGATCAACATACAGTGCTCTGCCTCACACAGCAGCCCTGGGAAATACCCGCTAGTTCTCAGCATATGGAATTTATCCTACCACAAATCTAAGAAAGCAGGCCAAGGGTGGATAAATTTCCTTAGGGACTTTAACTTTGACCAACTCCGTGAGGTTTGTTTAGCCCACGACAATTTCTAGCAATGACCCAAAGCGTGCTGACTTGCAGCAGACCTCCACAGAACATGATGCCAACGTGGAGTAACTGGAGTACTGAGACTTGTGCGCACGCTCTGTTCTTGGTCTAAGCAAGTATGGAAACAAAGAGATCTAGATAATCCTCTTACGACACAGCACAGTTCCGATATAATCTCTGTTCCTATGCTACAGAGGTGGTGAAATTCACACCACAAACAGGAGTTCAAAAATCTTCCAGAATTCTGTTAAAACTTGACAATTTGGACTCACTTAAAAAGGAAGTTGTGTTTATGTTGTATATGCTCAAATCTGCATAAAAACTTAATTTATTCATTTACCATTTTCTTTCCTCAATCGGGAAATAAATTTCTTGGGTGGGATGACTCCCACCTTCTTCTTTTGCGTAGCAATACTGTTGAAGAGATCAGAGAGGCATGTCAGGAGGCTTTCCTTCTTTCGAGGCTGCACTTTGTATGCCAAAACTTTTTCCCGAAATGGACGACAAAAATAAAGTGCCTGTAAGACTGAGTTGCAGTAGCAGGTATTGCCGAACTGGTTAAAACAGAAGGAAAACAAACATTTTCATATTAGGTCCATTAAAAAGTAATACAAGAGGTTGCTCATTAAGAATGTCACATACTGAAAATGGAAAAGTCATCGGTCAGAGTGCATTTATTGGGGAAATACTAGTAGGCATGGTGCAAAAGACTCATCCTTGTATCATCACAGCTGGCAACCGCAAGAAAAGGAAGACAACGGTCACAGCGATACTGGGCATACACACACAAAAAAGCAGGAAACCACTGACAAACCAAAAATCCAATTGAGGGCTCATCACAGAATCAAAACTTCTGGAGACACAGCATGCTGCTGATGCTGATAGGGGAGATCCTGCTGATGCTGATGTGGAGGGGTGCCAGTGGTACAGCAGAACAGAGGGACAAGAAAACAGAAAAAGGAAGGGACAGCATCCATCAGGACCACTGCGTCTCAGCCGTATTATAGTAACAAGAGCTCAATACATGAATTCATGGTAGATTTGCCTGTGTCAGATATACAAAGTACTTCTCAGAGATAGTTAGCAAGGTATATGTTAAATATTTCCTGTTTATAATGAAATCTTAGGAGAAGTACATGATGCAGGCAAATTCAAAGAGCAGCTGGTTTACATCTGCCATATCTGCAGGCAGTGTCATTTCAGAGAAAGGAGGACAGCGATAACAACTTCCAGAGGCAGTGTTCCACATTGCTTAACGAGAAGAAACACTCAGACCACTGAGATATTAGCCTATCATCCACAAGAAATACACCATGGGTTTGTGAGTTGTTTCTTTGCAACTTATTGTGCAACTGTACTGTGCAATGCTGTTGCTTCAAAAAATGTGAAATAAATTCTGGGTTTGCCAGTCCCCAGTATTCTGGTAATGAGATTCTGCATCTCAAGAGCATTGACAGCAAAGTATTTTAAATAAACAAAATGAGCATACAAATCTGACTACAAAACACAGACTATTTTGTTAAGTGGCACTCGGAGAATACAGCCACTACTGTTTATGAAAATTTGGTGCGATTACTGTAGCAGAATGATTTTAAGTTAATAATCAGTTTGCTGACTGAAAGAGAAAACTGACCGTTTAATTCATACAGCTAAAAAGGTTACAGCTTTATAGTTACATTAACATTAATTTATACCATATGCAAACAACATGGAACAACAGTTAAAACTTAGTGACATTAGGACAACAAATATGCAACAAACACGTGAATTAGGACAGAACCTGACCCATATGCTTGTTAGTGACCTAAGAAAACAAACAGGCATCATGATAACTAAATTTGCATACAAGACAAAATAGGCAAGAGAACTACCAAAAGTCTGAGTAAATATTGTTTTCAGATGAGGTATATATTTGTCTATAATAATCCCAGGAAACTAAGAGACAGAAGAAACTAGAAATTAACCAACTAAAAAAAAAACAAACCAAAAAAGGAAGGTCATGGTGCATCTTAAGTCAAAATAGCCTACAAAGCAAGTAGTTAATGAGATTTCAGGACTATTCATGAAGAAATCATGTCAAAAAGCATGAAATCAACCGGTTATACATGTCCTGCTTTGATGCTACCCATACAGAGAGAAATTATTAGAACCAAACTAAACGCAAGAGTTAAAGGAGTTAAAGAATTAAAATTCCATCCAAACAGCTTTAAAAATTCCTGACAGTAAGATGCAAGATGCTTTGCAGTAGTCAAACTGATACAGCGAAAAATTCACTTTATGGCATGCTTTACGTTTTAAAAATTTTCTTCTAAATAGCACTGCAATTCTCTTTGTTTGCTACCACGTTTACATAAAGTAATGTGGAAGAACTTTTATTCCTGAAAGCAATATCTTGCATGCTAGCATTTTAGATATTTTATTGCATGCCAAGTACTTTACAAAAAGACCATGTGATGCATTTTATTTCAGAAATTCTGGCTTTTTTTCATGTTAGAACAAAATCCTTCCATCTTTGAGCAATTAAGGGCCTTGGGAAACTTCTGAATATCTCAATTATTGATCTACCCTTCTCTGTATTAGAGAGAGTTCTCCCCAAATACACAGTATTACATAGCAGTGTTACACTTTTAAACTGCAATCAGTTTGCACTTAGAAGTACAAAGTAGTCAGATCTTTCCAATTATGACCTTAACTTTGCTAGAAATTCTGCCTAAAAAAAAAAAGAAAGAGGGCTCTAAGCATTTGTCTTCGATAGAACCCCAAAAACCAGGTTGGCACGGCAGTTCTCAATGGGCTGATGAATATTTCCAAACCTGGAGCTACATGCATAGATCAAACACACAAATAGTGTATAAAGCCTAATGTGACCTAAAACATAAAGGAAAAACAGGTACAAACAAGTAGGTTTTACAATCTTTTTGCCATGGTTCCTCTGGTATAAATAAATATTTTAAATAGATGCCAGAACATAGGGATTTTTGCTTAAAACTAACTGTATTTTGAGTCAACATTACCTAACCTCATAAGAACTGTAAAATGTTACACTTCGAATGTAAAAATACAGTTTGAAGGCTTATTTTAAGATAGAAGCTTTTTAAAATGAAAACTGAGATGAAATTCTAGAATGAAAACATTGGTCCATCCCTCCTGCACTTCAACATTACACGTAATCTGTTTTAACGGGCTGTCAGCAGGAGCAGTCAGGCCCTTCTCCCATATACTCTGCAGTGGCTTTAGCAATCGTCTGACTGCAGGCAAGCTGGTTCAGCTCACTGACCCAAAGAGAAAATAACTATTAAAAAAAAAAATTAAAGCTTCCATTGTCCATGGGTTCGACATTTGATTCCATTTGCAGTGCAACCACACATTTACTAGTATTGATGCTGAAGCCATGAAACTGCCCTCTTTCGAGTGCTCCAATTCACTTCAAATCATGAAAGAACTAGAAATAACTTAGGAAAAAGCTCTGCAGAACAACAGCATGAAAACGATCATCCTAAAGAAATCAGCTGCAAGGAATAAAGCACAACAGTATTAGTCATATTTTGTCCTTCAAAACAGAGAATGGATGTGGTTATAATAATTCTGGTTATTTTTAGAATGCTATTTTTCCTCTTCACGCTACTCATCGCTCTGCTATTTATGTTACAATTGGAGATGCCTTCCATTTTTCTCATTATGGTGCAAACCTCAGCAGCTTTAGAATGGCCATTAACACCATACTTAAGGAATATAACTCAATGTGTTTAGATAGTTTGGTGTCTGAGAACGCAAACTGCTAGAAACCCACACAGAAGTCAATTAAAGGAGTTTGTAACGAGCTGCAACAAAACACTTTCGTAGCTATGTTAACCTTATTTGGTGTGCCACAGGATGGATCATCCTTCAGTTTTCAACAAAATGTACCTAGACGACCAGCAAACAGATGTATACTTATGTTTCTAGTGAGTTTTCCCAAAATTGTATGTTCACATCATAAATATGACGCCACTGTTTCTACTAACTTCCTATGGTCATTGGTAAAAGACGTCACAGGCGCAACAGCTGCCTTCCTCCCCCGGAAGCACTGGCAAGATCACCACCAATGCTCCATTCTCGCCATGGTTAATTTAGGTAGACAATTCGTATTGCCCAACAGATCCCAGTCAAGTCAGATCTAAACAAACTGACAGACACAAAAAAAATGTACCGTTTTAGAAGGATTCACTGCTACACAAGGCTGTCAAAAATTTAAAAAAAACGAGTATTACTACACGTAAGAAAATTATCAACCAAGTCAATGTCGTCATCTCCTGGCTATGTCCTCGCATAGAACTTCCACTAATCCCACGAGTAACATGTTTTTAGAAAAGTAACACATTTTCATTTTAAAACCTGAAGGCTCCCATACACTGCAGCATCAGTGTAAAATTAAATCTCTCTTCTCTAGAAGAGCATGTGAACAATGTACACGCTTTATTAGTTAATGTCCTTTCCAGCTAAATATTAAAATCCTATAATTAGAAACACACCTGAGTAGGATGGTTTCTCTCAAAGATTTTATAACAAACATACTTATTTTTCTGTATTTAAGATGAAATTTATATCTTGGTTAATAACAAGGCATGGCACCATATTGCAGGATGTGGTGTCTATGCAGAGTCCCAGTTTAAGTCAGAAGTGCTCATAGATAAAGTTCTACCAGAGAATCCTGTTAAATTCAAAATTAGGCTATGAATTAAAAAACAGCATTTCAACCATAGAAAATTCACTTACATTGACCAAGCCAAAATAATGCTCATTCACCGGGAACTGTTCAGGACCAATCTCTTTCTCCAAAGCAGAGGCATTGGCGCCCTACAAAGAAACAGTATGTTTATGTTAGAGAAAAAAACAACTTCCTAAAAAAATCCAACAGAATTCATACTACTCCTATAAAAACAAAGAAGCTAAGAAAATAAGTTACTTCCATTGAGAATCAGCATCTCGTGTTTCCTACGTTCTTCAAAATGAAATCAGTATGATGCTTTATTATTACAAAAGGTACCATGGCTTCACTTAAAAACTCAACTTCATCAGCCAGAGCTATCGGATCTAACAGGAGGGTTTTTTTGCATTTGAATTTATTTGAAAATTAACAACAAGAAATTTGCTCTCACTTAAGACTTCAGGTTAGTCACAGTGATCTAGAAACACCAATTTAAATTTAGGCAAGAATGCATTCTAAAAATAAAGAAACTTATAACACACAGAGAATCTCTAAACCTAGAGGACAGAAACCATACGGGCTACAAATGCCACGAAAGAAAAAATGTCTTTTTGTGATGTGGATTGCACAAAAGGTGTGATGTGGCTGTTTATGATTTGCATCTCATATAAAGAATTCTTGAAAAAAATCTTGCCTTCACTGACACATTAGGAATACTATAATTTTCTAACTTTATTTCTGGAAAGTACTATGGACAAGTGGAGCATGATTACAAAAACCAAAAAGAATGGAAAGAAGAATTTTATCAGACATTCCTCAAACTCAGATCACCTAAAAGTGATCTATATAAAGCTTTCCTACCCTTAATGTAAGGATGATGTATTAAGCCTACAGTGCATTTTGGTACACCCTTAAGTCTCCAGCAATATAATGAGGATAGAAATTACTATTTTAGATTCAACTGAAAAATACCACTACACATCTATGTGGTCTCCCTTGTCACATAGAACGAGAACTAATGCATACCAACATTTTAGTTTCAATTTTAAACTTTGTCCACTTCAAATTCAAAGTGGTTTATGCATCTCTCTCCATTTTTTCTGTTGTATTAATCCATCAATACCTTATGGCTGAGCTCCCACTTGGGATTTGCTACCTTCCCTCATGTCACTCCATCTCGTTCTGTAATGTTTCTTGCTGATCTTCCAACAGTCCTTAGCTGCACCTGTGCTGTTATCTAAGGAGTTACCATCATCTAATGCAGAACCCAAGCACTTTGGATTCTTGACTTCTGTTTTAAATATCCAAGTCACTCCACCTAAAACCTTCTGCAAACAGTAAACAGAAATCCTTCTGCACAGGTGAGCCATCTTAAAACACCTCAGGAAAGCACTAAACAAACAAAAATTACAGTCCACAAAAATTCAATTCATCTATTTCCCTGAAGCTAGCAGTGTTTTTTAATTGCTGAGCAAATATTTCCATCATTTCCATTAGGATTCTGCTATTAATATAAACCACAGACAAGTAGAGACTGTACAGACAGTTCCATCTAGATCGTCTTTAACAAAGAAATAGCTAAAAATTTTCTAAGAAACAGGAAAGACACCAAGAAATAATTTAGTTTAACAGGAGGAACGGAAACTCTGTAGTTGGATCTCCCACATCAGATTTACAGTGAATTACAATATATCAAAAGAGACAGAAGACGAGGAAGGCTCAAAATTGGGTACTATAAAAACCACAAAAACATTCACTAGGTGCTGACAGATTTACAAGCAAGACTCTTCGCAAGCAGCAATTACACAGAAATTTTTTGAGGCATCAGTGCCAGTTCAAGCAGCTCCTCTCATTTGTTTCCCTACATCCATTCCCTGCTGCCAAGTACCTCTTTCTCCCTCCACTATCTCCCCTCAAAAAACCCAAACCAAACCTAGACATAAGAATAGCTGTCTGCAAGGCTGAACTGCTGATACAGCTCTCTCCAAATGCTACTTCAGCTCTTCACTCGTATTGTTCTGATCAACACCGTGACTTTGGGCAATAGCGTAACAGGAGATTATAACCCATGTGCTATGTAAATGCACAAGAAGAGGTGATGCTGGTTTTGAAAAATGTTCAGTCTCGAAATCAGAACTGACTGCTAAGTGAGGTTCCTTTACTCTTACATTATGCATGTTTCAAGATTAAGGAAGGGATATGTGTAAAATCTGCAAGCTTGTGAAGTTCACTTTAAATTTCTCTGAACTGTCTTCTCACCTCCTCCATCATCTCCGCTACTGTATTAGAGAAACACTGGAGAAAGAGACAACTAAAGCCGGTACCACAACTTACAGAACTAGTGAAACCAAGCAACCCGAATACTCCAGCCTGTAAAGCAACATATGGAATAAACATCTGAACAAAGACATAAAAGCGTAAGAATTGTAATTTTTAACAGAAGTATGCTATAAGGAATTTAATAACCTACCATAAACCAGTGGTGTAATTCACCTAAACCACCAACCTGTATTCCACATGTATCTACCTATTTAACCTAACAGGTTACATGTGCCTTTTTTTCAAGTGCTTCCTTGTATCTACTACCCAAATTTACAAAGTTTGGGCAAGTTAACTGCAGGGGCAGACTGAAAATTACGGTTTCCTTAATAAATTAAATGCCAAAGTTAGTCAATCAACCACAGAAGCTAAAATAAGCTAACATTTAGTTGCAATGTTTCTGAAGTTTCTTGTCAGAGAACATTTTAAATTAGCATACCAAAATCATGAAAACCAAAACAGGACTCAAAGTAATTGTGGGAGGCATCAAAATCACAAACTTGCCATAAATAGTTCTGAAGATGCACACTTGCAAACTAAATAATACGTAATACACTGAAGAGGCTAGGCGTGTGCATTTGCATACCACGATAAAATAACGACATTGCAAAGAGTACAGAGTGATTTATCATGGGAGTCAATGCCCAGGAGAACTACGCCACACAAGGCAACAAGTGTGTAGGGAAAAAAAGCACTTTATGGTGACAGCACAAATTGGCCTTGGTCATGTTTCAGGATGGAAAGACATGACACGTTTGTGAGTAAGGCTGCGTAACTGGAGTCAACGTTCAGCTACTCACAAGCCGTCATCTTTGCAACTAAATTTGCAAATAGCAAATGAACCAACTGGAGATCAAATCTAGTGCAGCATGAACCGTGTCTTGCTGTAACGAAGCCTAATAAACAGCTTTGTTTTCAGACTGTTAAGTGTTATACACATTTTCCCACCCCCACTAAAAGATATTTCCATCTGGATAAATATTTCTGCCTCAGATCACATAAATATTTGCTCGTAAGAAACAATACACACTTCATAATTGGGTGCCACAGACAAACTGTTCTGCATCTTACAGTACTTTATACACCTAAACCCATAAGAAAATCAATGGTGTTGATGACACCATTGTGGGAGCAATAAAAAAAATGACAGGGAAAAAATCACTAATACATACCAATTGAGTTTACTTGGCATATAAAAACTAAGCAAATAATGAAAACTAAAATACAGCTAAATATAAAGCTTAATGCATGAGATCAGAGTTGACTTCTCCTTGCTGGCACACAACAAATAAATACATCTTAAAAAACCCCAGAAGTCCATCCTTGAGGCTTCTAGGAGGTCCACAGAAATGCTCACAAGGAACTGCTCTGCTACTCCGGTTCAGGAAGAGGTGATAAAACTTTCTGTACACAGCTCCGCGAGCAGGAACAAAACACAAATTTATACAGTCAACACATAATTACCCAACGAGGAAAACATCCTCCTAGTTTAACTAAAGTGGTAATACTGTTTTACGTATGTAATTAGACTCTCAGAGAGATGCAAATTTAACACTTCCATACTGGTGGGGGAGGTGACAACTAAACTTTCAGCAACTTGTAATCAGGATTTGTAATTTTCTAGAAATTACTGTGACCTAAAATGATGTCTCGGAGGTTGGTGGCACTTTTCCAGAGCTCCCCTATTCCATTCACACCCCCACTAACAGAACCGACTTTGACGCTAGAGAGCGAGCAAGCTTAGCTCAGTGGGTTTCCGCAGTTCTGGCACTATTAGTTAAGTAGAAAAACGGAAATCTGCCTGGCCCACCTGAACTATCACCATTTTAACAGTTCAGAACAACGGATACAGCTAACAATGGCCAAGACAACCCCAACAGGCCAAAAATAAAATATTTTCTGTCATAGCTGCAGTAATTTTACTTTATGCATATTACCTAATTAAAAAAGGGACCTACCCAAGAACATTTGTGCTTACTGATTTCCACGAGAAAAGACAAAGAACACCCTTAAAAAAAACAAAAAAACCCAACCATATACTGAATTTTAAAATATCAAACAAGCACAGGGAATTGTTAATATCCAAGTTTTTCTCTATTTTTCACACCAACTCAGTGAGGACAACACACCAACATTAAATATATGAGATATAGGAAGATAGTATTAATTGAATAAAACTAATAGTTACCCAAAGAACACCAAAAGGTCTCTAAGGCAGGTTTTGTTGAGTTTGGTAAAGCAAAAAGGGATGGTAAAGTAAAAAGTGATGTGAACAGACCAGTTTCAAAAACTCTCACCCGAGGGAGCTGTCTAAGCACGTCACCACAGATGAAGTGATCCCACAGTATAGCTGAAATTGTAACTGAATAACCCATCAAAACCAGAATAGACATCCATGAAGTCTTCACCTTGTAAGCTGCGAGTCGGTTTTGCTCAGTAGAGAAGCCTTAAAGAATTCTTTCCAGTTCAATACACCGTGAAAGTGGAAAAAATAGTAGTAGACTTCTATTTCTTAGCCAGATTACACTGCTAACTCATTGCATTACCAAAACAAGACAAAAAGAAGTAAGCTTAGGCATTATGGTCTCTTATAAGCTCTACAATCAGTTTGCAACTATTGCTGCAAAGAAAATGAGTATTTTGCCTGGTCTAGATTTAATTGATTTCAGAAACTGGAAATGTATCAACAGTTTCCAGGGGCTTAAATACTTCTATGCCCTTAAACTTATTTGACTTTGTAATCATTCTTATAGACAAATTACTTATAGATTGCATTCCTTTATCTGACAAGAATCATAAGAAATTGTTGTTGGAAGATGATGAAATGTTA